AGATCTCTAAGACCATTGGAGGCAGATCTCTAAGACCATTTCCACCTTTCACAATCTATCCATCTATGGATTTGGGGAAACATGGTATGACCATTGTCTTCAAATATTCAAGGGGTTATCATGGGGCAGAAGAAGCATACTTAATTTGTGTATCTTGAAACAGAGGAACTTGGATGACATAGAACAGTCCTTGGAAGGCACATCTTATCTCAACTTGAAAGTAAGTTTCCTAAAGATGGAATGGGCCACCTCTTAGAAGGAGTGAATTTCCATCACTGAAAATCTTCAACCTGGGCCTGGCTGACCATTGGATGAGACTGTTGCAGAGGGAATTCAGGACTCTAGGAGGGGTCAGGAGAGATGACATCTGGTGTCCCTTCTACTTCTAAGTTGTTATGACTCTAGGGATTCTGTGTAGTAAAGGAAAAGGTGAGAAGACTAGGATGGGGTGAGACAAGGAGAAGAGATAGAGAGGCACTGAGACAGAAAGGATACAGAGAAGGAGAGAGGGAGAAAGGATATGGAGAAGGGAGAAGAGACAGAGAAGAGATAGAGGAGAGGGAGGGAGGGTGAAAGAAAAATAGAGGGAGGAAAGGAGAAAGAGAGACAGAGAGGAGTCAGAGAAGGAGAGAGGGATGGACAGAAGGATCTAGAGAGAAGACGGGAGAGAGACAGAGATCAAGAGAGACAGAAACAGAGAGAAGATTATGGAAAATAATATATAAGATAGGAAAGCTTGGAATTCACATGGTAAGATTATGGGGATTCATTGCAGGTTCTTTATCAGGAGAGGACAATAAAAGCTGATCCTGTCTATAATTAGAAAATCATAAGGGTTTAGAGCAATAAGGGAGTTTAGACAAACTGCATAAAGTTTGTCTGGTCCAATTCTCATTTTACAGGTCAGAAAACTGAGTCTTATAGAGGGGAAATGATTTTCCCAAGGTCACACAGCTAGGGCTTTGAACCTAGTTCCACTGATTCCAAATGTAGCATTCTTTCCACTATATCAGTCTTATCCAAAGTCCAGTCATCCAACCCACAGATCCGAGAGCCTAGCTCATCCTTAGGGAAAGATGAGCCTGTCTGAGCAGCTTGGTCCCCACCACTGAGATTTCCCAGGCCCTGTGCCCTGCAGCCCTGAGCCTGGCCACTGCCAGAGACAGCCCAGTTGTCTCCCAAGCTCTGTTTGCTCAACAGTGTGGCTGTCAAACACATTTCTCCCAAAACCAGATTTAATTTTTTAAATGTGATTTCTAATTTAAAATTAAAAAGAAAAAACCCCAAACAGTCATCTTCATCAACACCCGTTAAGCTCATATGGTGTTTGGGAAATTAACTCTGTCATTCTCACAGCAAACGGTTCCAGAGCCTCAGGCAGATTCACAAGCTGCAGAAGAAACTATTCCTGAATCAGTGTGTGGGGCAGGGCCAAGCCCCACCTGTCAGTGCTGAAGTGGGAAGCCACACTTTAAGAGGAAAAAGAGAATGGGCTGGTTCCAGCTCATGTGTCTAGACTGATAGAAGGGAAAATGTCCTTGGGCTAGAAGTCAGGAAAGCCACGTCTGTGTCTCTATTCTGCCACTGGCTCAATTTGGAAAAGTTACTGAACCACTCAAGTTTGCCTATCAGTGAAATGGGGAGAAGAACACCTACTCCTTGGGATTTGCCTGAGAGGTTTGCCTGTTATTCTGTTTCAGTAACTTCATTATCTTCTTCTGAAAATCTTCACAGAAAATTACAAATGGTGATGGCTTAGCTACCAACCACACACTCCTTGCCCTTGAGGAAACATGCCTCTTCTTCTGAGCAACTTGATCTTCTGGGCAAGGAACATCTGGGGAGGCATCCACTTTTTTCTTTTTTAACTTCCCTCCCGTATTTATTTTGATCGACGGGATTCTCCCATATGCCAGCAAGAGTTTTTATGCACATCTCCTCCATATCAGGAGTTACATTGTTTTTTATATACTATAAGAGTTGTGTATGTGTATGTATTTACGTATGTGTGTGTGTATATAATATATATGCATATATATGTATATATACATAATTTATTGTATAATATGCCGTCATCATCTATTAGATAACACATATAATCCTCTACGTTTTGGCCCATGATATGCTTACATTGCACTTCATCACTGAATTCTTTGCTTTTTGTATCATAACCAGGTTTTGGTACCGTGAAGAAAAGCTAGACCACCACCTACAGGTCCCTAAATGGCACCGAAGACTTTGTTTCTAGTGGATATTCTGTACTTTCTAAGTTGGCATGACACTGCTTTCTCCTGGTTCTCTTCCTACCTTCTCAGTCTCCTTTGCTGGATCTTTCTCCAGGCCACGCCTATTAACAGTAGGTGTCCCCCAAAGGTCTGTCCTAGGCCCTCTTCTTTTTTTCCTTTATACTATTTCTCTTGGCGATCTCATCCACAGCCTCCTTGGATTGAATTACCATTTCTATGTAGATGATTCTCCCAGGCCTATCCTCACTCCTGATATGTAGTGTTATATTACCCAGCCTATTGGACATCTAGAAATAGATTTCCTGTAGACATCTCAAATTCAACATGTCTAAACAGAACTCATTATCTTTCCCCCAAACCTTTCTCTTTTCCTAAATTCCCCACTGCTGGCAAGGACACTCCCACACTCTCAATCAACCAGGCTTGCAATCTCAATGTCATCCTTGACCCATCTCTTACACTCACCTCTCCCATATCTCATCTGTTGTCAATTCTTGTCCTTTCTACCTTCACTTCATTGCTTATATGCATCCCCTTCTTCCCATTCACACAGTAGTCACCCTAGTATAGGCTTTCATCATCTCCCAGCTAAACTACTGTAATATCCTTCTAATGGGCCTCCCTGTCTCAAGTCTCTCCCAATCCGATTTCTCCTCCACTCAGCTGCCAAAGTGATCATTCAAAAGCACGGGTCAGATGATGCCACCCCCTTACTCAATTAACTGTAGTGACTCCCCATCACCTCCTGAATCAGATAGAAAATCTTCTATATGGCCTTTAAAGCTCTCGATAAGCTGGCCTCTTTGTACCTTTCCAATTTCCCTGCACATGATTCACCTCCATGCACTTATGATAAAGTGATGCTGTCTTTGCTGTTCCTCACACAGAACATCAATGCTTTCCACATCATGCTCATCTCATTCACTTCTACCTGACATTCCCACATATGGTTCCATACCAAATCTGTCAAGAAGCCTGTGGGTCAGCAACAGGCCAAGACTATGAGCTGTAGCATAATTTATCAGGCCATCCTTCACACCATACTTTGGTGACTTGTAAGCAACCATAAGCTACATAAGCATATCTCTTTCTATACAGGCATAAACAATATAGCAGATGATATCTGCTGCTGCCTAGGATTATCAACCTCTATTTTCTTATTTTGTACTTGCTTTTATCCAGGATTAATATGTGCTTCTGTATTTACTTTGTGCTTCTGTACATAATAATCCCTTTTCCCCTTCTCTCTTTCTCTGGAGTTTTATTTGGCACCTCTTGAAGTAGGTGTTATTCTTGACAACTTTAACAAATCCCATAGTGCCAAATGAAATCCATGCCCACAACTCAGCAGAGAATCAGGGTATTAGATTCAGAACTGTAAGAAACCTTGGAGGCCATTTTTGTTTTTTATGAGCAACACCAGAAACCAGAAGTGGCCATTTTAATGGAGAACAAACCACAATAATTTGAATCTCAAGGTTTGTTTTGTGTGCTAGAGCTAAGGAATGCCCCTCTCCCCCCTACCCCATCAGGAGCCCTGGAGTCAGAAAGGAGGTTAGGGAGAGATTTATTTGCTGTCTAAGGGGGAGTGGCAGTTGGTGAAGGAACTCAGGAGTTCAGAACATCCTCTACCTATGTCCAGGTTGGGTCCTAACTAAGGGGCCCACCCGTTCCCTGGCTCTCCTGGGGCCTCTACTTCTTGGGACATGTTCCCTCTCTCCCTGCTGCCCAAGACTGGCACTCAGAGTAAGAGGGTCCTCAAGTTCAGGTCCAGTGTATGCAAGAGAAATATAAAACTAGGTAGGCATCTTGAGAGGGGGGAGCTGGGGATGGGAGGATCAAGGTCAGTGAGACACACTGACCTAGGCTTTAGCTAACAGCACTCCATAATTCCCCCAGGCAATCCCAAGTGTGATGACAGTTTGGGAGTGAGATATATAAGAGCCTTCTCAAGACAGCAGGAGCTGACCAAGGGATAGAGAACATAGACCCCAGGACCTGAGTGGGGAATAGGAAAACCAGGTTGAGGTGAGGTGAGATTAGGAGCCAGTACCTGGGTTTGGAGAAAATGAGAGTAGAGGTGGTGCCAAGGAATCCAACAAAGCTGCTGATAGGGGGGAGCCGTTTCCAACCTGGGATCCCCTCATCCAAGACATGTACACCCATACACATGGTGTGTTGGGATGTGGCTAGTTGCAGGAAAGGAGTTTATCACTTTCTTCTTGGGAAAAATAGGGAAGTGGTGGGGAGGGTAGTTAGAGAATCTTTGGGCATTGTAGAGGGTGGTGGAAAGAAGCCCTTTCTACACTCTATCCAAGATAAGCACGGTCCAACATATAAATAAGGCACCCCTGATGGCAAAGAGGGATGAGGGTAGGGTAATGTTTGGAGGGTTTCTGGGGTTCCCACTGGTTCCCACTGGTTGTCTTGGTCCTTGTCCTAGAAGGTCAATCATCCCTGGTGCTCTACAGGCATTCTCCTCCCCCCGCAAAGTTTGGGAAAGGGAAGGTGAAGGGGAAGGGTACCCTGAGCTGGTCCCATCAGCCCCAGAGGCTGAAACCACAGAGGAGGGAGTGAGGTTTACAGTGGCTTTAATTTGGGTCTGGCAGCACAGGGCATGGGCTTCTCCACTGTTCCACTGGAAAGATCCCACCTGCATTTATCTCTTGCTTTGGCCATTTAAGCATGGACTCCAAAGCGAGCAAGGGCTCTGAGGAGAGCAGATCAGACTGGGTGGACAGAGCAAGAGGCCGGTCACTTTGGCATCTCCAAGGACAACACCTGAGGCTTCACTTTGAAGTATTTGTTGAATCTGATCACCATATATCTAAAGAAGTCAAAGTCAATGGTAGAGAACTGGTTCTGGATGACGGCCCAGAATGCCCAGAAGAAGTGAGAGGCCAGAGCAAGCTTATTAACTTGTACGTAGAGCTTCTCCCCCTTCCTGGGGGTCATAGCTGTCCTGCCCCAATCATCTTTGCAGAGCTGCTTGTGGGCTTGCAGGTAGTAAGTCAGCCAATGAAGTTGACTCTCCCAGCTGGGTAGAGGCTATAGTCTACTTCATTCACACCTACAAACTCACTGAAGTGCTTGCCATCATCAAAGGCTTGGTAGTTGTACCCAGCATATTCAAAGTCTATGAATCTGGCATGACCTTTCTTTTCAATATAGATGACGTTCTTGCAAAGCAGGTCATTATGGCATAATACTAGGGGAGAATCCAGCTGTGAAAAGATCTCCTTCAACCAGTCCATTTCCTGCTTGAGGACCTCCACACTGGGCATGTTCTGGGAAAGGCTGGAGTTGAAAAAATCCTTGACAATAGTGAAATAACTGCACATTTTGGGCCACAGGCCATGTTTGGACAGATAGCCATTGGCATGGATGGCATGGACTTTTCCCATTTCCCAGGCAATAAACCTGAAGAGCCAGGGTTCAAGCATATGCTTGGGCCCAAAAGCCATGCTGGGAGAAACTCATAGCACAAGCCATTTTGGAAGGTACAATAGAGTTTGAGTGCACAGCCAGACCTCATTCTCTTGGTCCACTTAAGCCTTGATAGGTTAAGCGACTCTTCCAAATCTATGTAGATATTAAGTGGTAGACTGAAATTTGAACGCAGGTTTTCTGACTGCCGGGCTTGCAGTCTTTCCATTGTACAAAGGTATATATCATAACGGGCAGCTTGGTGGTGTCATGGATAGAGCCCTGGGTCTGGAGTCAGAAACACTTGAACTCAAATCTAGCCTCAGGCACTTATAAGCTTTGTGACTCTGACACATCATTTAATCTTCATCTACCTCAGTTTCCCCATCTGACAAAGGGGAATAATAATAGCATCTACCTCTGATTTTTGAAGAAAGCATTTAGCACAGATCCTAGCACATAGTAGGAGCCATATAAACGTTGTCTACTGTTGTTGTTGCCATTGCTATTATTAATGAGTTGATAGATGGTACAAAAACTGAATGGTCTTTAGCAGTGTCTTCTCCCACTTCCATCATTCCTGTAATGGTCACTGCAGATGCAGAAGGGGGCCACATAAGACTAAGGTTTGCTTTGCTTCAGGGGCTGCCATGACCAAAGAATTCACCACCAAGGGGCTAGTCTAGTGATGATGAGTTGATTTATGATTACGTAGACTGGTCCTCAGAGAGGGGACTTGCTATACTACTAGGCCACACCTAAAGGCCTACCAGAAAGAAGGAGCACAACTACAAAGTGTAATTACAAAAGATAAAGGGTTAATGGACACAAATTTCAGGGAGTGGAGTCCTTGGTGAACTCCAAGGCACCTACTAAGTGCTTAAAAGCTTGTTGCCTGACTGAATGGTGGGAGAGCATTAACATCTGTGGGCATCAGAAAAGGCATTGGGTAGAGGAACCTGAACTGATTCTTAAAGAAAACTTGGGATCTTATGATGCAGAGATGAGAAGGGAGAATATTCTGAGGTTGGGGGATAGGCAGAAATTGTTAGTAACCTCCATCACAAGTACTCCCCTGTCTCTGAACCTCCATGAGCTCAACTTTGTATTGGAGATATTGGTCTCCCCATCATAGTTAGACTCTTAAGAGACTCTCAGATGACTGGGGCTCTTTCTAATTCTTCTTTTTTCCCCAGGTCCTTCACCATTTGCCCACTTTCCTGTGAGTATTTGAAACTTGGATATCTGAGATCTAGTTTATGTCCACCCTCCCTACAAAAGTGTTCTTCCTGAGCCACCATATCTTCTCATCTTATGAGATGCTTGTCTAAGACTTCCCATAAATTCTCGGTAAAAGTTGACCCCTATATGGGGGGGGGGAGAGGGAGAGGGAGGCTTCCTCTAGATTTCTTAACATAGACTGGATAAAAATGGAAGATGCATGTTATCTTTGTTTTCTATGTGACTTCCTCACCCTCTTTTGTGGTAATATATCTCTCTGACATCCTCTTTCTGAGCCTCAACACATATTTTGAATTGAATGTAAAAAGAGGCAGCCTGGAGTAATGCAAAGAAGTCTGGGCTTGGGATCAGAAGACTTAGCCCTGCTGTGTCTGTAGATTTAGCTAGTCACTTGCCTACTCTGAGCATCACTTTTTTCTTCTGTAAAAAGAGAGGGTCAGAATATATGATCTCATAGATTCCTCTTAGATATTTAAAGCCTATTATCCAGTTAATGAACTACCCCATTTTTACTTCCATTAATTAACTTTATGATTTCCCAGAATAAAGTTTCCTTCCTTAGCTATCACTACCCCATGTGTTGTTTTCTCCATTAGAATATAAGTTATGTGAGGGCAGTCTTCTCTTGTATTATTATTTCTTGTACTTCGCATAATCTTTGGCAAGAAGTAAGTGAATATACTAGATACTTTAAATTCTTTCAGTCATGCATTCATTAATTTGTATTAATATATACCGTTTCATATGTTGTGCAGACACTTGGTAGTTCTGTGAACTCAGACAAGTTGACCAACCTCTCTGAAACTCAGTTTTCTCATGGGTAAAATAGCACCTATTTCATTAAAGTTATCATGAGGATCAAATGAGATTAATGTATGCTTTGAAAAAGTCTTTTGTAAAAATTAAGCAACTATATAAAAATGTTAGCTATTGTTATGGCAATGATGATATCAGTAAAGGCATCTAGGTGGGGAAGTGGATGGAGCACTAGGCTGGGAGTCAGGAAGACTCATCTTCCTGAGTTCAACTCTGTCCTCAGACACTTACTAGCTGTGTGGCCCTGGGCAAGTCCTTTAGCCTTGTTTACCTCAGTTTCCTCATCTGTAAAATGGCAAACTGCTCTAGTATCTTTGGCAAGAAAACTCCAAATGGGGTCACAAAGAGTAGGCCATGACTGAAAAATGACTGAACAATAACAGTGTAGTTAAATTATCATGAGTAGAAACTCTGTTGCTTAGCCACAGACTAACACCCAGCCCTAATTGTATACTGGGCCTTTTTCTTGGTCCCAGATTGAGACTTAGCACTAGAAAGAAAATATGCAAAAAACTGTATACAAACAAGACATATATGGAATAAATTGGAGAAAATCAACATAGAAAAGGGCTAGTATTAGAATTTTCCACACCATTTACTTCACTGGCCAAAACTGGGGTTGGGGATGACATTTAGGGATCAGGGGGTGGAGAAGGAGATAGGAGATGAGTTTGCTTCTTCATTACAACTGGATTCTGGTTCCAGAGAGTGAGCCTGCCCAATCAGAGGTCAGCCATAAAGTAATCATTGTGGTATTTGTTCTTGTGGATAATAGCCACAGAATAAACCCTAAACTTAAGTCTCCACCTCAGGTCTAATCTGAACCACAGTCCCGATTCTAAGCATATCTTGGGCACAGATAACTGAGATTCAGAGATAGATTTTACATACCAGACACAGATTGTTCTTAATTTTGCCTTCCAAGTTACTCTTAGATACCATCAAAGGAAGACAAAAAGATATATCTGGGAAGGGGCCTTACTGGGACATAATCCAGTAGACTTGGTAGTGCTATATCTATCCCCGATGGTCTCCATAGAGTTACACGTGGAATATCTGGCATACTACTGAATCTCATTCATCTGGTGGTTGAGTTCCCTAAAAAGGTTCTGAAGTGTATCTGATCTGTATATAGTGCACAAGTTGCAAAAGTTTTGGCATCAGAAGACCTGGTACAAAAATCCCTCCTCTGTTACTTATTATCAACATGACCTTGAAAGGTCTGAGCTTCAGTCTCCTCATCTATTTAAGGAAGAGGAGGAGGAGGAGGAGGAGGAGGAAGAAGAAGAAGAAGAAGAAGAAGAAGAAGAAGAAGAAGGAAGAGGAAGAAGAAGAAGAAAAAGAACAAGAAGAACAAGAAGAACAAGAAGAAGAGGAAGAGGAAGAAGAAGAAGAAGAAGAAGAAGAAGAAGAAGAAGAAGAACAAGAAGAACAAGAAGAAGAAGAAGAAGAAGCAGCTAATAATAATATGCCTGCATTTTTACTTCACAGGGTTGTTCTGAGAAAAGCCTTCTATCAATTGAAAGCAGGATGGAATTGTGAGCTATTTTTATTGATATTATTCTCCCTCCTCCCTGACGATCTTCTTGCCATTTGCCTTACCATTGGTGCTAGAGGCCATGCTCTAGAAATTTTAACCTTCTCAGCTCTGGAACTCCAACCCTAGGAACCCACTTGTCCACAGTCATATTCATCAGAATCTAATTCACATCCTACTAAGTCCCAATGATACCGATGAGGGTTGGAGTCATCTCCATAATTCAAGATCTATAATCCGTGCTGTTTATCACCTACATTTTATGGATATGTGTACAGATGTCTGAAGCTACGTGATTGATGGGTTGTACTCTTCTTGAATATTACCTGTTTCCAAAGTTTATGAAGTAGAAAAACTCTGTGAAAAACTTAACAATCTCCTCCAAACTAAGTACATCTCTTTGTCTTCTTTGTTTTTAACCTGAATTCCTGCTTCCATTTTTTTTTTAAATTCCTGGAACACTTTATTTTCCCTAATAAGTAGGAGAGTGAAGAGGCTTCCTCAAACCCCATTTACCTGCTCTTCTAAGAGGAAACCAGCTTTTGTTTTGAGCATAGATAAGAGTAATTGTGCCCATGGAAGAAAAATAAACCATACACTCTGAAAGTTGTAGCAAAATCCCTCCCTCCTAGTATATTTACTGGAGATTCTCAGTCCTCAGTCCTTGCCTATTGTTTCTGTTAACAGGATTTGTGGCCAATCTGCACAATAACCTGTTGAAAGAAATTGCCTTTTGGCCATATTTATTTGTTTCCCTGTCTCAGTACCAAGTGCTCTTGAAGGAAGCATTTATTAAGTACTCACTATGCTCCATGTACAGGACTAGGCCTTGGTGTTCCATAACACTTTACTTAACATCTGGTAGGTTACTGCTCTCACTTTTCTCAGGAGAGCCAAGACTCCTGGGTAGACCCTCTGCTGTTCAGTGTTTATCTCTGGACAAAGACGATATACCAGAGCACCTGTCTGGATTGGACTAGTCACAAAGGGAAGCAAACAATGCTGAAATTAAGTTCCATTTAGCTAACTGCATGTGTGGAAGAGTATCTCTGAGACTTCTCTTCTTCAGTCTCAAGAAACAATGAAGAAGAGACAAAACATAATTGCATTATTACTCTTACAGGCATCATAGTGTAGTTTAAAGAAGCCTCCTGGTGACCTGTATTGCTAACCCCAAATCTTCTAAGATGACCTAGTATGCTCCATTTATTTTAATGATAGGAGAAATCAATCATTTATCAAGTGCCTACTGAATACCAAACAATGTGCTAAGAGCTTTATAGATATTATCTCATTTGATAAGATACTAAGCATTCCAGGCTCCTAAAGGCAATCCCCATATGCCATGGTTTCCAGTCTTTTTTTTTAAATTTATGGAATAAAAGAAGCATTTCTATTACATAGTACAATAAAAAAGATGATTGCACATGAAACTGCAAATCTACTATGTATAACTTGCTATTCCTTTCAAATATGCAACAAAATTATCATGTAAATTTCATTTTTTTTCTCTT